AGCCTGATCCTGTAACCTGCTCTAGCTGTGTCCCAAGTTTTAACCGTTTTATCGCCCCTGACGGTGGCTTGCAACTCGCCTTACGTCTTCCTGAGCAGACTGCGCGCCGAGAACGCGACGAGCCAGACAGCCTGGCATTCAGCTCGCTCGCTAGCCGACCCAGGCCTGACCACCGGCCACTAAAGTCATCCAGTTAATCTCAACCAGTATGGGCTCGCTGCAGGGACAGTGGGTCGCGCTCTCAGCCACTGATTTACGAGGACACGGCAACAGTGGATGGTAGTCTACGAGCTGTTGGTGCGTGCTGAAGGTGACTAACACGACACAGCGTCGCTTCGCGGGCAGTGGTAATGTGTGACAACGTATGCTAGTGCCCGTGGCTCGCTTGAATGATCTCAGTCGTAGCATGCACGCGTTTGGTGCTTTTTTGTTACCTTAATGCGTGGAATCAAGGAGCGTTATACCCAAGCGTCTATGGCGCTTTGTAATGTTTAAGTGACGGCACTGGATACAGGACGTGCCCAGCTGTTAATAACAGCTGTAAAAATCAAACAGCTGTTAATAACAGCTGTTTGAGGTTAAAAGCCTTCTCCCCCTTTAAAGGAACTGTTTCAGATTTATATGGAATTTTGAAAGGAATAGCCGTCTCCAGGACCTTTCGGTGTTGTTCACAGTCCTGCTCCTCTTAGTACCCAAGCCCTTCTAGTTTCTGAGCTACACGACAGCAAAAATGACGAAACATATATTGGGAAGAGTATCTAAAAAATCACCTTGGTATTCATGCCGTCACAATAACGTGATTCATATCCTGTCATCCTATAAGCTATGTAGCGACCAAAGCCAAAAAACAAAAAATTGTCGAGGCTCCCATATCTGGCGCTCGTGAGCGCGAATATGGACCGTTAATTGGCTATCAATCGACGTTGTGCAAGGTGCGATGACGTAATCAAACCATGACACATTGACGAGCATATTTACCAAACAGAGAATTGTACCGTCTAGAATACGCTTTTCCATTTAAAAAGTTTACCAATAGTTAAACGTGAGCTTACTTCATCATACCTGATGTTTGCTCCAATATCTTTACGTATGAAACACACCATTTAGGGCTAATTTCTTTCCAAATGGGGCAGACGATCCTCAGGTGTTCGGAATCTGCGTTGCTCAGGCTGCGGATGCTGTCCTGAGATATCCCTCATCGCCGGCACTGAACATTGGCTAGGTTACATATCACCATATTGGGTTGCAGGTCACTGGGTCAGGTTATATGTCACTCTATCAGGCTGCAGGTCATGGGCCGGTTGCAGGACATCAAAGCAGGTTGCAGGTCACGGGCCAAGTTGCATGTTGAGGGGGCGACCTACACGTCACGGAGCAGGTTGCAGGACACGGGGACGGGTTGCACATCATGATGCAGGTGACAGGTCACAGGATCGAGCTTCCAGTAGTGGATGGTGACGCCAATGAAACCACATGACAAAACAGATGATATGGTGAGGTCGTTCGAACACAGCAGCAGGCAACAACAACAAAATAGATGAAGCATGAGTCCAGCATGTCATGGAATATATAATGTGGTACAAAGCTGGCTTCCTACGAGTTTGCCAAAGTTAAAGAAAACCGAGAACAACCTATCTAGAAGAACCGTGGAAAATCCAGCGAAGCCGACCTTACAAGTATGTACAGCTGTAACTTTTCTAATGCAACGTACCGGCTTCAGATTTTGTGCTCATCGCAACCAGGGCGTCATTGTGTCTGTACACCGGTTTTCAAAATAACTGAAAGAGTCCGCCTTCCATCGCGATCTTCGGCACACTATATGTTCGGTAATAGGGCGTACCTGCCCCTGGTTTAGTGTGCATTATGTTCAGAAAAATTAACTGCTTCCGTATGCAAGCTGTCAGGCTATTCTGAAGACTGCTGAATCTCCACTGTGGACCTGGATCTTGTTGTTGATTGGGGTTTAAAGGCGCGCCGACTTCTAAGATCATTCTGCGCCCTGGACCTGAAACAACGTCAGCAAAAGGGTAAGATGTCTTTCCTTAGCGACTTTGACACTGGAAGGGCTGAACTTTTTAGACACAGCCAAACGTTTTGTATTCAACGCGATCAGCCAGGACGTCAATATCGATCTGCACACCGACTTTAAAAATAATTTAAAGGGCCCGCCTTTTGTCGTGATCTTTGATACGGTCTTTCTCGGGTAATGTGCTGGTACTAGTACTAGTACAAATACCGGCACTAGATGTTGCGGTCATTATGTTCAGATTAATACACTGTATCGGTATGCAAAATTTGGCCAATCTGCATAGTCCGTTGAATTCCGAACGTGGGCTTGAATGTGAATGTGAATGTGGTGTTAACTTGACTAACGTGAGTTGCGCCCCTGGCGGGTGTCCGAACAAAAAGTCAAATGGATTAAATGACAGACGCCGAAGGATAGAAATTGGCAAGATAAAAGTCGAACCGAAAAAGTCAATAGGGCCGAAAGTCGACAGGACCAACGCTCGAAACCGGCAAAAGTTATAGGACAAAAGTCAAAAGGGATAAAAATTGACAGAACTAAAGACGATCCGGGAAAAACTCAATGGACAAAGATCATCAGGGCTAAGCGATGGAAGGAACCATGTTCTTAATTGATGTGCCGCACTTCACAATGGTCTTATAAACACGCAAAACCTCGATGTCATCATTTACAGCGCAGTTCCTAGTGTTTGAGCACTGGCCACATTCGCTGTCCGTTTTCTCTCCTGTTCTTTACTTAAAGTTCACCCGCCCTGCACGGAGGGCCGGACGCTTCTTTACATATACTGATGAGGACTTGAGTACTCCAGTGCTCACCTGAGCCTCCCAACCAGGGGGGCTTAGGTAAGCGTATTATGCACTTATGCACTTTATATTATGGTATGTACTTTATATCATTTTGGGGGCCTCAGCCAATCTCCCCCCCTCCATTGCTCCTCTGAGCCCCCTCATTGCATATGAGCAAGGAGGGAATACTGCGGCAAATCAATGCAGAACTATTGTCTTAACCTTTGGTACACTAGAAAGAAAGTACCTTAACAAATCACTATTTGTATCATATCTTTTTATCAGTGCCCTGTAGGTACCTAACGTTGTTGTCATGCTAACCAGTACATATATTAACCCAGGCTGCCAATGTTTGACAAAGTTGTCTTAAGCATAACGCCTAGATTGAGATAAAGGACAAGGAACTGCAATATGCGGCAGCATTTAAAAGTACAGGATGGCCTAGTGAGCGCGTGTTTTCCGGAACGGTGGCAAGTATATTCGTCGGATAATCGCGGCGGTGGCGGTTATACAACACGATCAGCCGCAGCGCTATCACCAGTGATCATTTACTGAGATTAACTTAAGCTGTTTTCTGTGAGTTACACCTCATTCTTAGCTGTTCATAAATAAGCAGCTCACATTGACATGCGAAGTCATTTTCCGCAGTAAAGCAGTTTAAATTCTGTGAAATATTAATCAGGTTTGTTTAAAAATTATGGCATCGAGATTTCAAACTCAAGTGACCGTAATCCGACTAGGTTTGGGGATAGGTCATGTCAACATTTTCTACTGAGACTCCAACCGATTTAGAAAGTGACTCCCCCCCCCCCCCCCAATGCCGCTCTGAGCCCTCTCCAGTGTGTGTGGGCAAAAAAGAATACTGAGGAAAAACACCAAAAATTGCCCGCAACTTTTGGCACTCTTCGTACATGAGCACATCAGTAGAAACATCGTGTTCCTTTTGCACTGCACTGTGTCCAATTGGTACAAAATACAACATTCGTACGCTGGCATAGATAGATAGATAGAGATAGAGACCTCATGGCAAGATAGAGACCTCAGCTGTGACCAAGTAAAGCATGCACGGAAATGTGACAAGTGAGAGGAAAATTCACTGTTTGCTATTAAGGCTGTGAAAACAATCAATATTTTCTACTCCGAAAGCATCTCGTTCTCATCGTCATACACGTGTCGGTCATTTCCCGTTTTGCGGTACTTAATGGTTTGCTTCCATTACAACAAATCCGTAAATGCACGAATAATAAATTGGCACTTGTTGGCATTAACGCATACTAAATTTTCCTGCAGGGACTTTTCTGCGCAATAATACGAGCAAATATACGATATTCTCACCTCACTCCACTCCAAGGAATCTACTATTATAATGTGTTGTACCGCCCGCACCGCCGGCCGAAGAAGCACGAGGAGAGCGGTGCTCGCCGGCACCCTGCATTGTGGCCGCTTAGTCAGCTCTCCGGTGACGTCAGCAGCGGTGACGTGCTTAGTCAGCCGGAGTCCTATCCCATCGTCTGGTACGTATGAGATTAAAATTTCCTCCTCCGTGGAGCTATCACTCCTGATTATAATCGGGTCCTAACTCCTACCGACCCTCGGCTAGGGCTGATTAGCACTGTCCGTAAAAATGCTGGCTGTGGAAGTTGTACCTTATTTATAAGTGTGACATCAGCATTGTCGGCAGTCCTAATATAAGCAGGCGTGAACTACGTCGTAATTTTATTCACTGATTCGAGGTATCACACCATAGATGCAGGAACGAGAACACCGAGATTGTACTCGGAGGGTGCCTTATTTCTTCGGCCATTTTATGTCCATTCGAATTCAGTATGGTGAAAACGTGATATTGTACGCCACGTCCGTTATGAATTTTCAACAGGAAAGGAGATGTCTCTAGACCGAGCATTGCCCGTAGGGGCATGGAAGTAGATCGCCGATTCCCCGTCAAAACTTCCGCTCGACGCACAGTCCTTTGCGTCTAAGGCGCACAAGGCTGCTTCACTGCAATGAAAAAAAGGGAGAACTGAACCATCCTCTAAGGGCGACGGAGCAGAGACGCTGTTCGGCCGCAGCACTGTTGCCAATCCGACGCCCATTGGTCCGCCAGCCCGGTGAGCCGCACTAGCGAGCAGTCTCGCTCTGTGATAGCGTTCTCGAACGACGTCCAGCCTATTTCTGATCGTGCATTAGAGATGCATTCGGAGCGATTTATTCAATACACGGTGCGGATGGCGGAGCTGATGGCCTCGTCGATCTACTGGCCTAAGTGCACTGTGATGGTGGAAGCCAGCCGTCAGGAGGCCAGGCTCGCTGGGAATCGCGTGTGGAAAAACGGGTGCCGGCATGATAGGTGCGTAGATTGAAGAAGCAGAATATGTGTATCTATAGAAATGAGCGCTAGAGTTGAGGACTCGGCTCTCAGAATTGGAAAATATTTGAATAGATGTAAACCTTGAAAACAAGGATTCGTATCCGGAAAGTAAGGATTTGGGCAAAACAATAACACAAGATCTTGAAAGTTCCACCCAGATATGTAAATAAAGTCGGTAAACATTATCTCAGTTCACATTTCCTTCACGGTTAACAAATGCGACACGTACATGGCGGCTCTGCATAGCACTGCGCCGCCTGTCTTCCTCTTCATTACGCTGTACCCCGTTTTACGCTAGCATTATTAGATATACATTCAGTTGATTAAGTTGGTGCCATATCAGAAAGTCACAAAAAGTGGATATGTTGGAGCGAAAACCATTGTTTGTTTTCAGACCTCTCAAAACAGAAAGTAGATCTTGTAACGAAGTCGTTTTTGCTTCTTCATGACTTACCGAATTGTTCATCATTTTACGTTTGCGATTTTGGAGACCGAATCATTAAGTACCACAAACATGAAATGATAAAAAGGTATATGTTGACGACGCAATAACTTTTTACAGAGTGGCTGGCAGCATCCCATGGATTTTGCTCCCACTTATCCAAGTTTTCAGTCATTTCAGATTTGGTACGAAGTAAGGTTCGTGTGTAATAATGCGTACGCAACAAAGAGTGGTACTGATTTTGATGCAAAGATCCGTATCCGATGGAATATACGTGGATCTCGAATGTACTCCAACCTCGAATCCGATTCAAAATTCGTCTGTCAAGGAATTCAGTCCCAAAATGCCGCGATTTTTCCATTCTGCCACGAGCCACCCCAAGCAATTTTCAGGGGACGCGTTAAAGGACCATGAATTCAAAACGAATGTTTTCTCCTGGGGAAATTGAAGCTTGCGCCGGACGTTTGAAAGTTTGCCATTACTGACCAGAGTGCACGTAAATTATATTGTAGGAAGTAAAAATGTCCTTTTGGTGTTTTAGGCACACCTTCGCTGGTTTTGGACGGCTTCGGTCAGGGGCGTAGTTCCACCAATGAGTTGGCGGGGAAGGGGGGGGGGGGGTTGAGTTAAGCTATGAAAATGGCAAACATACCCGAAAATCCTTCAAAAACTTTTTTCTCCGGATATGGCCCACCTTCCTCTCAAGTTTGGGGGAGGGGACTGGAGTCTAAGAGCCCTTATCCAGCTCCTCCCTCATCCACCCCAACTGAAACGGAAACTACACTGCTGGCTTCGGTACTTCACCATAGGTTTGCTAAGAATCTACCGGGTTTCCAAACAAGCCAAGCAAAACGTCGGGGTCTGGATGTCATACCGTGGAGCGGTGTAAAGATTCAGTTCGTTTCTGTGGGGTGGTACACGCACCAGAATGTTGATTTCTGCTGCTCAGCCTTCTCACCTTCAACCTCAATTTCAACTTCAATCGCCTGAAGAGGAATGGACCACGGAATGTGAGAATGATATTCGTGTGACTTGGGTTTCAGTTGGTTAAAATGTAACTGCCGCTGCTTCCGACGCCGCGGTGGTGAAAAATGATGCCCCCACATGTAGCTCGTGCAGGTCGACAAGAATATATAAATGTTCTGATGTCCCCTTAGATGATGCGTTGGTTCAAAGCATATCCACGGGATTACGTTCTCTTTTTTTTGGGGGGGGGGGGCGGGGAATGAGGGCGTTGCAAAGACATGATGTCAGATGTTGACCTATGCACGAAGTCAAAAGTTGAATGCAATGGACGTGCTAATTCATAATAAAACATCAAAGCCCATGAAAATGGCAGCAGCATACAGGATCATAAGAAACATTAAAGTTTATGGGGATTGCAGCAATATGCAGGATTATATGCAGACGAGAGCTTACGATAACGCAAACCACCAGTATGTATGGAAACACTCACATGGGCCAAAAACCAAGGTGCACGATCTAGGATTTGAATTCTTAAGTAAGAGCTTTGACCATGCACACATGTCACTGGACAGCGTTGGCCGTGGGCAGGCGGTTCCACGTTGCCAGCCACGGAAAGGAAATACGAGCATGTTGGCGTCCAGTCGGCACCTGGGCAGGTGGGGAGACATTGACTTTGAAGAACGCATCGCCTTCAGGGACTCATAGGGACGCAGCGTGAAAACGGACTGGACACTGGACAGCGGGACAAATCATTCGCATCTCATTTTTGTATTCTTTACTGTCACCCAAGAACAGGTAGCCAGAAGTGCCCTTCCCTCCATTCCAACGACGCAATAAACCGCGCATTAACGTCACAAAAAAATGAAATTCACCCTCGGTTCTTCCAGCTAAGGGTGCTTATGCTCGCGCTCATCTTTCATATGTGCTCAGCGCTCATCTTTCATATCGCATCTCACCTGGTTTCAAGGCGTCCTTTTCATCCAGCAAGACATCAAGCTGGGGCCAACCAAGAAGTCCATGTCATGCGTTGGCCAAGTTTATCGCCGGAAAGAATCCTGCCGGCAAGATTTATTGTGTTTTGCATAATTTGCACGCTACACTTGGTCATGCCACTTCAAACGCCTGGACGGTATGATATATGTGAAGGCAGTGAACTTGAATACTAAGTTTGAGAGCATCAGTAGCAGAATAAAGTCTAAGCCGGTACAGCGAGCTCAGAATCCCGTTGCATTTGTGTACGGCTCTGATGATCTGCTGCGCTTACGAAATCGTTGAGTCTCCGATCACACCGAGAACTTTGACGTGCCGCGAAGATAACGCAGTCTTCATGCATCGAAGTGGAAATAAATAATTTCTTTTAACTGTTGTTTAGAGCATGTGAGGACAAAGCCGGCTGTGACTTTTATATAAGCAATACAAGCTTTCAGCTCCTTGTCTCGGCATTACGAATTCTGAGTTCTTATACTGAGTTATCGACCTTCTGTATGCGGAGAGGTATTGATTAACCGTCGTTATAGAGCGCGCATTGGTTATATTATTAACACTCGACGTCTTAAGCAGTGCTTATGAGTGGCAGGTGGTGCGATGCGGGCACGGCGGAGAATGAAACCCCGTGCTTATGGTTTCCCAGACGCGCAGCTTAACCGTAGCATTACTGCTCTCCCCCTCCCCCGCCCCCCCCCCCCCCCCCCCCCCCCCACCCAGAAAACACCCATATCGATGTTGGATGGACGGTCTCTAAGTTTATATCCGTGACAGATTCCGAGAGCTTGGAGAGCTCACTCACACTTTGTACTCACATGGAGGCTTTATAAGCCGGAGCCGCCATGGTGGAAATCGTGGGTGTGTTTTGCTAAAGTTAGAATGTTTAAAGCCTTTTGTGAATTTCTCCTCCAGTTTCGTCCGCCTTTAGAATATTGGTGCGATTAACATTCACCACAGCCATTCCACTCACTGCAGGCTTATCTAACGAGCCGTTCATCTCAACCAAGGCTTCATATACGTAGGATCTCCGTCCGTTTTGCATCGTGCATGATTCCTTTTCGTTTTTACGATTCACCTACGTTCGTTTCCTCTTCGTTTGAACTGATATAACGGGATGTTCATCTCAACCAATGCTGCATTTACATAGGACCTCAGCCCTATGTGCACCGTACATGATCCCTTTTCCTCTGTTCGATTCACCGAATATCTTTGCTCATTCATCTGAGTGCTTTCCTTGTCTCGGACTCGGTGTGTCATTAAGACTAGTTCAGATTTCAGCTGTTTTTAAGCTCAACCTCAGCATCTTCCGGAAGTGGCGGAAAGCGGTTTATATATCCGATGCGTAGATGGAGTCATCACGGTCACGCCTACACTACTAACGGATGTCCTCAATGACTTGTGAGCAACTTATGAGCTTTCCTCCATGACTTGTGAGCAACTTGTGAGCTTTCCTCCATGACTTGTGAGCAACTTGTGAGCTTTCCTCCATGACTTGCGAGCAACACTTTCGAGCGTCTTTAGTCACAACCTGCCTCGGAAAGAATCATATTTTGTAAGCCGTTAAGATGCCGTAATATAACTTTATATTTGTCCGCGCTGAGTACCAAAGAGAGTTTTACGAACCTGTCCCTGAGCAAAAACGCTTTACCTCACTCAGTCGCCATGTGGCAGCATCTGCGATTGCGTTACGGCACTGGCCTATTCACATTCACTTCTGCTCTCATTGAACACACAACCACCACACGCTGCACAAGCCGTCCTCACTGGCGGCTAATGAACTGACGAGCCTTGATGAAGCGAGGCAGTTAGGGAGCGCGACGACGCTATAGTGCAGACATCGCTTGCATTGACGGTATTCGACGTTCAAAGTTGGACAAGCAGCTTACGCTCCCGGGGACCACCTCTAGTGAATTTCGAACACATGTACGTAAAGGTTGTCAGCCAATTCATCTCCACCTTACACAATGTGCGATAGCTCGGTGAGGTCCGTCGAGGCTTACGGCGTGCTGTACACGGAACAAAAGAGCTCCGTGACCAGCACATGGAACGGATTTGCTGTGGTTGACAAACCGAAATCGTGGAACATCGTGAGGGAATATAACCGAAATCGCGGAGTATCGCGAGGGAATATTTTCCAGAGCACGGCAGGCCAATGAGTCCCTGAGAAGGGCGCAGCGCTTCCACTCGAAGACAAGTGTCCGTCTATTTTAAAACAAAACACCCTGCTTTTGCCCCGCATCGCATGTTGGTGGGCGGCTGCAGCTCCTTCATCGGAGGGCGGAGGGTCCCCGGGTGGTCCTCAGAGGACACCGGCCCTCTGCAGATGGCGGTGTACCTGCGGACCGGTCGCTCGGCGTCACCTTCCGCCGGCGGGAAGGTCAGCGCCGATCGGGGCCCAGATTGCCCGGCGCTGCTCGCCGGCAGGCCGGCCAGCCGCCGGGCCGGTTTGTTTGGGCGATCTGACAAGGGGAGTGCTGGCCGGCCAGAGCGTGGTGTCGGCACGGCAATCGCCAGTGCTTCGCGGGACGTCGCAGTGCTGCGGTGTGTGGCGGTGCACCGGCTGTCTTTCGCCTACGCGGGAACTGCCGTGAGTTATTCCCACAGTCTTCCCGTTAAAGGCTGCAACTGTACCAGTAACTGCCACTGGGGTCGGTGGGGCAGTAGGTTTGTAACCCCGGTAACTGTCAGGCAAAGTGGACGATTCTATGCTTTGGCCACGTCAAACGGTTTCAAAACAAAAATGCCCCACGTAACATGTAAGGCGTGATTAGGACCACGGCTGGAGCTCGTGTCTGTTACCTAAGGCATTCACTGCCTCGCGCTGGAAATGCACGCTGATAAGCAACGTAGAGGCAAGCAACTTTTGCTTGAAGCGTTGCTGTACATCTCCCGCTCTGACCGTTTTACTTTCCAACTAAGGTTCCTGTTCAGCGGTCTGTTACAAGCTGCCCCTGCCACGTCCGTGTCGCGTTCCAGCTCGGCCGCCGCCATGCGTCTTCTGCTTCACTCGGCGCGCCAGGTGGTGCAGGTGTGCAGCGACGGTCAGCTGGCGCTGCGGGGCGCCGAGATGGGGCGGCTGGCCGTGCTCGACCGGCCGGACGGAGGCCTCGCCGTGGCCGTCGACAGGTCAGCGGGGGCTCATGCTGCCCCACCGTCTCCAGCTGCGTGCTGGGGCGGATTGGCATCAGCGGCTGGAGCGACATCCACACGACAAAATTCGCGGAATACCTGCTCCGGCAAGCACTTCTGCGATATGATTGCGCACGACTGCTAGCTGCTTTCAGCTTGAAGCAGTCGGTAGCCTGCCTGCCCGCAATCCTTGAGATGCACTATGGAGCCTGATTACATTCAGAACTGCTGTGCGTAGATTCCTGAGATGGATGCAGGGATCTGAATCATGACTTCTGGGTCATCGATCCTCTCTAAGATGTAATACCTATGGTAGAGTTAGGTGTACATGGGCTTTTGAGATTCGGGACCTAAAATTTTAGTAATGATTCTTCCCAAATCCCAAATTCCTTTCAGAGATTGTCAAAAAGTAATTCATGGTGTACTACATAGATATCCTTATTGTGTTGAACGGCCTTCAAAGAGCCATTTTGCTGGACTGGTTTTGGATAGTTTATTATTACCCGACGCAAAGCTAAGTTTTGCTTCGTCATTTAAAGTAAGCAGATCGAGGACCTTCAACAAAACCTCGATTGTATCCATGAGGTTTCGGCAGGACAGACAGTGCTGAACATTGTGGCGCGTTGAGCTTTCGCCACCAAATTCTGCCGTTCGTCTGGAATTGCGCGACCGGATGATAGGGGTCAGGGCTCACACAACAGTGTTTGGCGTGAGCTCCGGTCCCAGAAACCCATCCACTTAAAACGTTCGAATCGAATTTTTTGAAGAAATCTGCTTGAAACCAAGATCTAGTTTCCGACATTGTCAAAACCCCATCTGGAACGCAGACTTGGCTTCTACGATGCACAGACGCATCTGCTTATAGACATGCTGCACATGAACCTTCTCCAACGCAGATTACCAGCTACATCTTTGGTATATTAACCTCAACTCCGCCCGCATTGTTGCGTGAATGACTTCAAGCCTAGCAATATAAATACCAGCTCGATCATCAGCCACCATCAGTGTCCACCAGAGGCCGCGGGGTGATCGCTAGCGGGGCTTGTAGCAGGAGTGTCGGTCTTCTTTTGGTCTTTAGACCTTCGGAAAATTTTGCGTTAGTCCTATGTTGGTGCATGGAAGAAAACGAACCAATCTTCAAAAGTATTGGTCCCAAAGTTAGACTGGTTTATGCACTAATGGACCCTGACATACGTTGGGCAGCGCGCCCCAGCAACGCTAGACGTTCGATCTCATTCACTTTGCTTCTGCGCAGCGACGGCAAAATCGCCGCCATCGGCTCCAACGAGTCCGTGCTGGCCGCCTACCCCGAGTCCAGCTTCGAGCAAGTGATGGACGTGTCGGGCCAGGTGCTGCTGCCGGGCCTGGTGGACGCGCACACGCACCCAGTCTGGGCTGGCGACAGAGTGAACGAGTTCGCCATGAAGGTCAGTGAGCGCTGTCCGAAGAAGCCAACGGACCGTTACCAACGCTGCGGGCCTCCACACCGCACGCAAGTGCGTGCATTGGCCGAATTATGTCGGACCTGCTGTAACGAGCGCATTTACGCAGTCTGGGGACTTACTAGTCGTGCTGTGGTACCACCACAGGAGCCAATTCGACACGCCAAATCTCGATTATCGCGGAAGTGACCGATCGTTTCTAGAAGCGCCCTCCAATCCCCACTCGGCCTGACTCGGTCGACCTGTGCGCAGCTGGCCGGAGCGTCCTACATGGAAGTTCACCAGGCCGGCGGTGGGATCAACTTTACGGTGGAGAAGACGCGGGCGGCTTCGGAGGAGACGCTGCTGAAGGCGTTGCTGCCCAGACTGCAGAGAATGATCAGTACTGGTATGTTCAAAGCAGTTTATAAGGACTGGATCGAAGGGTTTCAGCGGACAGGGATAGAGAGGAGAAGAAAGAGAAGAGCAAAAAGGAGAGGGTTATGGGGAGGTATAGAATGGAACATATACAGAGCGAGAGGAATGAACAGATGGAGAGAGCGGGAATGAGCCAGGGAGAGGGACATAGTGTACATAACGGTGATCAGGGCGAACAGTCGTCACCTGTAAGTAACACATTTCCTCTCGCCTATGCTGAAAAAACAGCCATTGACCTCAGTTATCTGAAAAATGTGGCCCACTCAGCCTTCCGAATTCAAAACATACCCCTGATAACAGTCTCGAGAATGATTGCTTTCTCACCCACGGGCGGGAATATATATTCCTCGCTCAACAAAGCCTTGTGACCAGCTTCTCGTAAACAACTTCCTCTCCCACACTTTCGATTCTGAGCACTGCGTCGTGATTTGATCCAAGGTTTAGACAGACATTCAACAGAACGGAAATTTGATCAGAAGTTTTGACAGCCCATTGGATGCTGCATATGAATATCGTTCAGTTTGCCAACCGTTTCAAAACATGGCCGACGGGAAAGCACAATTCCTAGCAAAATCACGCGAGGTAAGACAATGGATAGAACACATCGGTGTTCAACGTGTAAGTCAGCAGTGCGAGGTAGCATGCCCATAATACCAAACATTACTGTTTGGTGACCAAGGACTCCTCCTCTGGCTTTTGACGTAGAACAGCAAATCGTTCTTCGCGTTGAGAATCTTCGTTTAGAAACCCGCGAAAAATGTATTCGTGTTTCTTGGCTGTTTGCAAACCAAGCCTGTTTTAACGGTTTCCACACGTTCGCACGGAATACTAAACACGGAAATAAGCTATAACATGGTAATCAAAAAGGAAGAGACGAGAAGGCATCTAAAGCATATTTAAAACACACGAAACCAAACGCCAAAATCTTCTCTCACATGTTCAGTTCTCAACACCGCATCAAACGCACAACAAAGACGTCGTTTTGTTGGGAATGTCTCGACGCGAGCGATATAGCAAAATGTCTTGCGAGCGGACAGTCATAATTGGGTGTGTATTGAGTATGGGCAATCAGACATCATATATTTGTATTGCACACACTTCTTTATGTATGCGACAGCGCCGGCCCTGAAGACACTACAATGTTCTTGGACTTTTAGAACACTATGCGGCAACAAATGTCTTCATTCCGATGTCTCCTCCATATTTGTTTTGTTATCAACGACCTAGAGACCAACGTAAGCCCCTGTTAATATTTTAGACCATGTGTTCAATGTGACTACCCAGTCATTGCCATTACATCAAACTGAATAAAGAGCATCAGTCACCAAAACAAACCACATCAAGCAAAATAAGTAGACGAGGGTGTTCTTAAAATCATGCGCGAACAGACCCGGCCTGGGGCACATCCCCGATAATCGACTGACATAGTTTTTCGCTCGTCTCAATAATGGAGTTCATTGCGCATTTACCTCACCCAAACTAAATTGAAAAAGTAGTGAAGTCGGCATAGCTCCTCCCGCACCCAATAAAAGGTCTACTTAGCGTTGCTGACCCGCATTCTTTCCCACCCGCGACGCGACCACTCGCTTAGCGTCAACCGCAGTGTGTGCTGGTGCTGAGCACGTGCGGGCACGATGTGCCCGCCCCACCGGAAGCTCCCGCCGTCCACAGGCACCACGCTGGCCGAGTGCAAGTCCGGCTACGGCCTGGACACGGAGACGGAGGTGAAGATGTTACGCGTGCTGGAGGCGGCCCGGCCGCGGAGCGCCGTCGAACTGTCGTCCACCTTCTGCGGCGCCCACTCGGTGCCGAAGTGAGCCGCGGTACCGCCACGTCGGGGTCGGACTCGCTGCACTGGTCGCCACGCTGATGCTTTATGGCTTTGCAAATCGATGCAGACGAGTGGTAATCCGTGATGTTTTGGGGCTAGGAACGTGTTCTTTGATGGCTATACCCGGGAATCGTTTGCCACGAAGCTGAAACGTCGCTTCGGGATTGATGACGGCGTATGTGCTGTTTGCCTGTTCATTTTTTTGTACTGTGTCGACATTCACCCAACTGCAAACGCCAACATCAAAGGTAACGACCAATATACTGTACATACAAACTTTTTAGGGTGCATGTGCCAAGACATTGACGCATACCTGATACCACTGTTTCCAGAGGAAAAACATCGTCAGAGGCAACGGATACTGTCATCGATGGCATGCTGCCTGAAATAAAAAGGCTCCGTGACCTAGGGGAGCTCTCTGTGGATAGCATTGACGTCTTCTGCGAAAAGGTGTGCAATTCAATTTGATACTTATACTTGTGCTAAGAAAGCTTACAAATAAGCACACAAGGGCATCAGACTAGCATTCAACCATCCCTTATGGCACCGCTCTCTGGTCTGTCGCCACATCCGTTATTGCTTTTCATTCTCTGCTTGCGTCTGCAGACAGCAGTGACGGGGCGACTGACTAAAGTTTCGCGGTCGGCAGGGCGTGTTCAGCGTCGAAGAAACGAGCCGTATTCTGCGAGCTGGAAAAGACCAGGGACTTCTGCTCAATTTTCATGGCGAGGAACTATGCAGACTCAACTCTGCAGAGGTACGCGGGGCCGCTGGCCTTTTTCTCCATTATTTCTTATCGTCTTCTCGTCAAGCAGACTGTGGCTTCCAGCTAGTACCCCGCTCGCAGCTGGTAATGTGTTAAACGTGTATAGGAACTCAGTCCCAGGGAATTCTCGCCATTGTTCGCAGCATTGTCAGCGGCTTAGGGCACACAGGCCAGTGATAAACCCGTGACGGACTTGCCTCTGCCAGACCCGTGCCTCCCTGGTGTCGAGTGAGACAGGCGGCGGTCCAAAAGTCCCGGCACGCTCACGGCCAGCTGGCTGCCATCCCGCGGCCGCCAGATGGGTGCAGGGCTGGGCGCCGCCGCCATCAGTCACCTGGAGCACGTCTCGCCGGAGGGCATCGGCGCCATGGCGGCGGCCGGCACCGTGGCCGTCATCCTGCCCACGACGGCGTATATCCTGCGCCTGGTGGCGCCGCCCGTGCGCGACATGATAGCAGCGGGCGCCGCGGTGGCGCTGGGCACCGACTTCAACCCGAATGCCTACTGCTTGTCCATGGTGAGAGTTCGATCGTGCTGCCTGCGTTCTGCATCGTACATCTTTGTCGTCACGTTCAGTTCTCTTCTTAATCCAGGGCCGTACAGGTAGGCTGAAGATGAGCTAACCTTATTACTAGAGCTTTGCTTTCAAAAAGCGAAAGCTTTGATTTCTAGCCGGGAAATTGATAAGGTGATGGTGTTTTCTCCTTATTCCAGCTGTGACGGGCGGCATTTAACTGCCATACTGCATAAAAATGGCCCAGTCATCTGAAAAAGGTGAAAAATGAAAGCTTTCCGCAAAAGTTGCAATCAAAATCACCGTTAGCTCAATTCAGTCACCATTAGATGCGAAACCCAGAACACGGGGCTCAACTCCCTGACGCGTAACCCAATGTTCACCAGATGCAAAATGCTATCTATCTGCAGCGTGGTGGCACATTATTGTCCATCAAAGCCTGAGTAGAGGCAAAACGTCACCATCCCTGTCAGATACCTTTCCGGGAGAGCAGTTTCTGTACGTTCACGCTCCCTGGTATCGCATCAGATATCAGCGACAGGCTATGCGTGTCATAGAGGTCTGCCGCTTCCTCTCTGTCTTCCCTCTTCATCACGAACTGCCACCGAACTCCCTGCCGCCGCCACGCGGGTGAACAGTGCTCGACTGCTGCCACGCTCCGGCAGCCGCTGGTGATGCACCTGGCCTGCGTGAACCTGCGGATGACGATGGCGGAGGCGTTGTCGGCGGCCACCATCAACGCGGCCGCCTCGCTGGGCCGCGCCGCCTCGCACGGCTCGCTCGAGGTCGGCAAGCAGGCCGACCTGCTGGTGCTGGACGCCCCCAGGTCAGGGTCAGCGGCGCCGGCACAGGGGTAGGACAGGTGATCAGAGAACGCAGGCCGACCTGCTCGTGCTGGTCTCTTCAAGGTCAGGCTCGCTGACCTGCTCGTGCTGGTCCCTCCACGGTTGGACTCGCCGACCTGTTCGTGCTGGTCTCTCCCGGTCAGGCTCGCCGACCTGCTCGTGCTGGTCTCTCCACGGTCAGGGGTCTGCTCGCACAGCGATGTCATGCACGCGTGAAAAATCAGATAAACACACTTAAATGCATCTTTAAGCACGAGCAAGGAGGCTGCTGAACCACATTCAAGTTCATCTCAAAAGAAGTGGCACCATTTTCAAACATTTCCATTGCTGTGCCATGACGTATATCGCACCTGTGACGAAGGTGTCGCCATGAACTCTTCGCAGAGTGGGCAGGTCGTCATTCGTGGCCAGCTTCCAACGTAAGGAAACAAGCCTTCTCTGGCTAAAGTGGCCTTGCAATGCATCATGCTTTGGTCATGCCCATAAGTGTTGTAATGGAAGGCTTATCTATGCACACATATATTTCCTAGGAACAACGACAGCAATATTAGTTACCTTTCTTCAGCATGTTATCAGTCATTTTAGCACACCAAACCGCAGGTCAGGCAAGTTTTCTTTTGGCAATGAGCATGGGAAATTTTCAGACCAGTGTCGGATTCCATTTTAACTTAAAACCAGCGCTCATAGGTTCCATAAAACCACCCAACACATTTGTACGACTGATTCCTTTAGTACTGCGGCTTCTCCACGATCACAGGCGCCTCCCACTCTCAGTTGTAGGATGGACTGCTCTCAGTGATTGAAAGGGCGCCCGTTTAGACCGAGGATGTCCCTGCGCATCATGGTCATATCCGTCATGACATGAGCCTTCTGCCGCACCATGGACATGAACTATCCGAACGATAGTTATAGTGCAGGTATGATCAACATTCTCGGTCAAGAGTGGAGTCACCTTCCGTATCTCAACCTTCTTTCACTGTTGCTGCTGACCTTGTCCCCAGACCTGGTAGCCTCTGCCATTGCTGCTGACCTAGTGCCCAGACCTAGTGGCACTCGACCTGCGAGCGGTCCGTCCAACTTCAGAGAAACAATAAATAAAGGGATATTTTTATCGCCCTGTTCTATGGTAGGGTGGAAAGTTACCAACACCACTTACCGGGTGTCGCCGCTCCTGGTAGCCCACCCCGTCCACCGGGTGGCACCGCCCCTGTTAGCGCACCCCGTCCACCGGGTGGTGCCGTCCCTGTTAGCGCACCCCGTCCACCGGGTGGCGTGGCAACTGGTAGCCCACCCCGTCCAACGGGTGGCGCCGTCCCTGGTAGCCCACTCCGTCCACCGGGTGGCGCCGCAACTGGTAGCCCATCTCGTCCACCGGGTGGCGCCGCCCCTGGTAGCCCAACCCGTCCACCGTGTGGCGCTGCCCCGGTTTCTAGGTGTTGTGCTGGCGCGTGTAGATTCGCACACTCACCATGTGTCAATGACACTTGCTTATAGCTTGTTCCGTGAGAGCAAGGCAATTCAGTCCGCTGTAAATCAGTCAGCTGTATGGACAGCTCTGTCTCAGTCTACCACACGTTATAGCGGCCCATACGTCCATCCCTGTTAGGGCTCCTCTGGCGGCAGCGTTTCTGAAGTCCATCCGCTCTAAGTTCCTGCGCTATATCCAGGAAAGCAAGCAGGCCAGATGCAAGCAGAAACAGTATCCGACATCTCGCGTGGCGTCGCATGATTACGTCATTAAAGATAAGTGCATGTAGCATTTGGTGGATAAAATCAGATCAACATGGTCGATCAGTGAACTTGGGTCTCGGCCATCATCTGTACACCTGCATGCGGCGTGACAGTTCGAAACGCGGTATTTCATATTCCACCCGGTACGATGACTCAAGTATCCACAGCGTCATTAATACGCAATGTTTCATTTTAGAAATCACAGCTGTACCAACGAGAGGGCGTGACCCGTGACGTGCCTCACCAAGCCATATCGCACGTGCATGAACCCCACTCTGTCATATGAAAAACTAAGCATCGCATGGCAGCAAAATAAACCAGGCTAGGTAGGGCCTCCTAAACTTCATCAGAGCTAAATTAATTCGATCAAAGACACATCAAACCCAATTACGAAAGGTTCCCTTTCCGAAACGTCCCGAAGGTTCTCGTAAAAATATTCAGCTCGGCTTATTTGACCCAGCTGGGGCTTGAATGACGCGACCAGCATGAATTTGAAAGAATTTCGCCATCATGTAGGATGATAAAATACAGCAAAGCAATGCGATGGAAGCCTTAAAGAACGGACCTATATTTCACGACCAACGTACGCTATCGGGCGCCTGAACCCGAAATGCGGCCATGATCTCGACGGAGTGGTCATATCTCATGGACTCTGACAGATAGGGTCTTGAAAGTTTCACAGGACGTGCGGGGTGTCTTAAAACCCATCGACTGAAACGTTCTGCAGCATACACTCACTGTTTCTTGGGTAATTCCGGAATACCCGAGGTGCTCTGCGGCCAGTGTCCTTGTCCAGCTAAAAGAGTAAAAAAGACGGTTACCGTCCTTCATTTTTCAGGCGCCGTGCACGCCCATATCGCATAAATAGCGGTTCATGTTGTTGTTGCTTAGACTCACCACAGATAACACAGTTTGTGCTTTCACTCATATGTTTATCAATAATATTACGACGTCATTAAATGTGTGCTGAAGCGTTAATCAGTGTGTGCAGCATCGGTCGATGAATAAGCCTCTTTCTTCCCAGTAGCATGCTTATTCTCACCTTAAGCAATTTATTAATCGTTCAGGCACCGTGTTTCGCATTTTCCTAGTCAAGCAATTAGCAGGGACACTTATGGAGTGTTCAGTGACTTTTTTGTCTTTCATTTGTTCTCACTCTCTCGCGCCCCATCTTAGCATTGTGAAGCCAGTCTCGTGCAATTGCTGGATGTGTTCAAACAACTGGTGTCCCACTGCCGCTGATTAGCCCTTGACAGACGACAGCCACGTACTGACGAGACGACGTCATGGTACATCGGGCTGTGTGGAGAAGATCAGACGCGTCAAGGCCCAACGTGCTATGATATGTCATGACCAGGGATCAAATAGGTTCTGGTCTCTTCGACGATCCCGTTTTCAAGACCACTTGTCTATGACGCAATTCTAGAATCGTGCCATAGCTATCTTTCGAGCACTTCAAGTCTATAGTCACACGTCCAAGCACCACAAGTCCGCACTCCGTTGAGCGTGTTGAACTTTGTACACAGAATGGCCTAATGGAGGAAACACAGTCGCGACGAACTTTGCGCAGCCTGTATTGCGCAGCGAACTTTGCGCAGCCCGTATTCTGAGTCGCACTCTGGGTCAGGCGCACTCAATTAAGTTCGACAGTGGCTTTACTAGACACATTTTTTTCCGTCACGCTAAGTTCATGATGGCCGTTGCAGTGTACCCAACTCCATCCTCTATGTATATTGCAACCAGAGTCGTCATTATTGGCGCGCCTCATGCCCGTCATTGTTGCTATGCCTCCGGACCCTTGCTTGGTCCCTTGTGGCAGCAGTGACCTTCATTGCGTGTCGGCTTGTCTCTGCGCACGTCCCCAGTGGCCACAACCATGCGTCACTTTTCGTAGCAGGTGCCAATATTGATGGCTATCCTGTTAGATACTCGTCTGACAACCTGCTTGTTTACTTCATCGCAGTCGACTTTATCTTCGCCTACTTTTCGTGCTTTCATTTTTCAGTTGTCTGTTATCCCGGCTGACTTTTATTCTTTTTGGAGTTGTCTTTCGGCTTTTCTCCGAATTGACTTTCACACGTTTCAACTTTTTGTCTTCCGACCTGTTCAGACTGAACTTGTATGCCTGACGACCGCCATCCTTTTCAATTCCTTCTTTCAACTTTTTCGTTCGCTCTTATTGTCCAGGAGCCCATGCAATACGACAGGGGTGAGCTCGGTTCTCTGTCTCATACTCAAGACACCGCCACTGGGACTCATGGTGTGGACTTGGGCCGATTCCTGCACTACCGTCATGCTTTACAGGCCTCCCTCATGCTGAAACAGAAAGTCAGATCAAATCTTAGCATCAGTTGCTGTTGGCAGCTACTAGAAACTTGTCATCTCCTCTTAAAAACACCCAGTCGAAATTGGTCATTTTAAAATGTACTCGCACATGCACCATCGTGGACACTGGATTTATCGTAGGCTTGCATGCCCTGCAGTTAACGCCCTTGCACGATCACGATTTACAGTGACAGTTCAACGAAAGGATTAGGACGAGGCACTGGTATCAATGAAATTATTGTTCGGACTATGGTCCTTGTCCGTTGGGTGTCAGTGTGCAAACTAACACACCAGACGAGGGTGTTACTCCGAATAATCAGTCTATCCGCGGTCTGACAGAGGTCATTAATTGTGCATACCTGCATCACTTGCAGTGAACGATGCCGGACCACGCTAGGGGCAGTTTTCACTCAGACGGCCTGAATGACGAGCTCTGCGGCGGAATGGTCCAGAACTCGCACTTCGAAATCTAATGTAAAGAATTACTCTTCCTCTTCTGGTTTTGAATCATAAATAATCATTAACTTCAGAACAGACAGCTACCCTGCAGATAGAAATAGCAATCATATGACTGATCGAAACAATAGTGGTCAGATTGCTTTGAAATCGTATATCATATAGCCCATCTTTAGCCCATCACAGCCCTTTAGCCCATCATAGGTGTTTTGCGTTTATCACGTGTTTGTGTGCGTGCATTACATTGTGTGCATGGCCATTGTATTTGCACATATCTTAAGTGTTACGACTGTTCTAATGCCTTCCACTAGCGATGGAAAATTTACTGGCGCAGAGTACTTATCAGCCGTATATTAAGATTGAAACAGCTTCGCTTTCGTTCCCTGTCTTCATTAAAAGTATTCGGAATGGCCCGAGCGGTTGACGTTTGGACTCGCACACGTAAAGAGCACTTGACTGCTCGCACCTTGAGCCAACCGCCTGGCTCCGGTCGGCTGAGCATTGTACCACGAGCTTATCGGGCAGGCATGACCGTGGATACATTTTTATAAGCGGAGGGACGCTACGATAGCGGCCACGTGCAGGTCGACCCTTCACGTAGGATCTCACTGGACCGGGCTCGATTTCGACGGCCGTCGTCTCGACTGACGGTAAAAGTTAGCGTACCGCAGCTGTCTGAACGACCGCCGCCCGGGCCAAATGCAGGAAATGTGACATTCTTGAGGAGCTTGTTGCCGCTTCCAAATCTCACATTTCATCCGCCGTTATTGGTCACGTGCGACCCATCGCGTCATGCGCAAAACCTGTGGCGCGGCGGGTTATGCACTAGGCAATGCGACAAGTTCGCTAAATCCACCGACACCCATGTGGAATGCATGATGGAATGAAGCGGTAAGATATGTCAACAAAAGTACGGGCATAGGCAAGGCCCATGTGGAATGTATGATGGAATAAAGCGGTAAGATATGTCAAAAGTACGGGCATAGGCATGGTTGTGTTTAGGAGCTTGAATAAATGTCTGATAGAGCTTTGTTTGAGCATTTTCCTTCATCCCCGTTATTATCGTAATTAGCTGCACGCACGCGGCTAATGCGAAGATAATGGATCTGCGCGCGTAAAGCTGTCCAAACTTCTCTTATGACTTTAACGTCATACATTGAAACAGGGAAATGCGTGCGTAACATACCGCTGGGACCAATTAAGAATGGTAACAAGCGAAAAGGGATGAGACTCCGCAGGTAGCGGATGGATAGGGTGAAGAGGATCTACGCCTGAAGCCCTCTAGTATGTGAAACATGCTTTGCCCAGTAGGTTCCCGAACGTTTTGAGTACGATGAACCATAACGGGACGCAAGTAATACCACTCACTGACGTACTCGTAGCACACGTGACAGGCAATCAGCTGCGTTGTTGGCATGGCGTAATCATACCGTCATCTTTCAGCTGGAAGCATTTGATCTATCAGTTCGGCGAGGCAGCCCACATCATCAGTCACGTGATCAAGAGGGGTCGCGTCGTGCACAGCCGGCCGGCCTCGGCGACAGCGGCCGGGGAACGCTGCCAGTACTGACCGGCGCTCGGAGCTGGCGGCGCCCGCCACGTGCCCCTGGCTGAGAGAGGCCCATGAATAATTGCAGACAGTAATGGAGGTGAACTATTCCCCTGAATAATGGAAGCCGTTGTTGTTCTGACGCTGCAGTATGTCGATGACGTTTGCTCAGATGAAGGCCACTTTGAGGTGCCATACGCAGCCTATGATATCAAGCGAATGTAAGCAGGTGTTCCTCACTTTACAACCGATAGGTCGACACGGGAACGACCAGACCTTCACGCGTCATGCCGAATACATGTGGCCAGTGTTTACCAATTCCACGCCTTCTGTTTTTGACGCAGTGTGTGCTATCGATGTATCTAACCGTTTGAAAACGTCGTTGTGCGATGTCTGCGTTCACTGGCATGCACTGGTACAGAGTTTATTATCGAATGTAATGGCTTAACCCGTGTCCTAAGGGGGGGGAGCTGAACATGATGGGAGAGCTTAAATGAGAGAGCTTGACATGTAAATTGCGAAGTCTGTCCGAGCATAACATACGAAGTGAACTTTGCGTCGATGTCATGTCGAGCATTAACGATTGGATTAACTCCCTAATGCACCGCTCATGCGTTTGTCGCAAACCACATCGCTTGATAAAAACTGATGGCTATGCGTTTGGCCTGGCCTGGTGGCTTCAATCGACGAAATCGACGAATTCGTCAAGACTCGAGCTGATCAGGACCACTTTTTGGAATACTTCTATAATTTGGTAGATTTCTCTTGGTTTTTGGATATTTTGGCTTTTGTGCGCTGGTTTCGTGGTTGACAATAAATGGGAGGACAAAGCGCACTCTTGAGTTTATCACAGCACACCAGGATATGATAATATTCTTCGCGGCTGCAAATGCGACTTATGATAACTAAATTATATTTAAACAGCACACTTCAAGGTGTTTAAGAAGTATGGGGCACTGTCGTGCAATTCGTCATACATGCTTGGTCCTGAACAAACTCGTCTTGTTGCCTGGTTAGCATACTTACCTTGTTACAAATCTTGACTCATCACCTAGTTTTGGAGCGAAGCAATCGCACGGCGGACTCCTATATAGTACGAAGTTCAGGATTCATGCATTCATACGGAACGACGCTACAGTATTGCACTTTTTGCAGCTGAAATCTGCGTGGAGCTGCGATGAGTGGTTGCAAGGACACTACCTTTTGGAAAGCGTGACGACGCAGCGCCTTCCTCAACCATTCTGACATATTCTTGCCAGCACTTGTTTCAATTTCATCTTACCTTGCAGACCCACAGTTGGGCCCAGTTGTGCCATGTACTCGCCCCCCATCAGAGTCTGATGAGGCGGGAACTTGCGGAAGCACCGAGACGCAGCCCTTCGCTCTGACCCTGGAACTTCATCACCACGTCTGCCTCCCCACTCAGGAGGCTTACCGCCCCGTAAAGGAAGTCGTCTTCAAATTTGGAGCATTTGACACAGGCCTTATATGAAGTCATTCCTGCTGACGATAGAGACGGGTGATCCAGAGCCAAGAACAAACCCATCCCATTCCCGCCCATCTCCAACACAACCGACGAGGCATCATCACTTACCGTTTTGTACTTGACCCAGAACAGTGGTTATGGCCCATCCGTTAAGACACTGACATTCAAGTGAATGGTCGGCACTCCATTCCATCATCCAAACCCTCCAGTACCTGAAATCAGTATTGCACATTTGTACGTGGTTTTGAACTGAAACAACCGTCCTGGAAATCATTCGGTGCAGTTCACAGCCCTGTCTTTCTAAAGACCGAAACCCTTTTAGTTTCTGAGTTACACCCCCGCAAAGATGTGCAAACTTTTTGTGGAGACTACTTCTAGGTCACCCGGGTATCAATGACGCCACAATAACGTCATTCAAATTCTGCCATTCCATTGGCCATGCGCTGATCAAGGCCATTAAAAGTATAATCGCCGAGTCGTTCCTATCTGGCGATCGTGGGGACGACTTCCAGATAAAACGGCCGTTAACTGGTTTTCAATCAATGTTTCTCAAGTGCGATGGCGTAATCGAACCATGACATATTGAGGAGCATATTTAGCAACTAATAGCAACATTGCGTTCTCTAGAACAACCTTTTCCGCTTAAAAGCACACCAATCGTTCTAACTGAACTTATCTCATCATATCTGATGCTTGCTTCAATATCTTTAAACGTGGAATATTCCCTTTAAAACGGTCCTGCTCAACATGCTCGAGGCTACCGCATTCAAAGCTTTTGACGGTGGGGGTGCCCTGACGTTGACGGCAGTCACCTCTTTTGTGCCCTTCAGCATTCCACTTGGAATGATTTCTCTGGAGTCCTACTCCTGAATGCATCTTGCCCTTTATGTCTCGGAAACTCTCCTCCAAAGAGCCTCTGACGTCACAGGAAGCTGTTCTTGAGTGGCCTGCAGCTCTCGACACACAGCGGCCTGGTATCTCCCCTTCCCCTTCCCACCCGGCTGCAGTGAAGCCACACCCATGTTTATGTTTCCACAGCCTTTCCCCGTCACTCCCAAAAGGACTGTCATTTTTCGCCTCCATTCACACACATGCGGTAAAGCGTCATTCCCGCGCTGTTATACTCCTGGTGGGCGATAAGTGTTTTGTCAGCCTTTCCTTGCATTTTTCGAAACTATGGATTCAAGCTTTGATGGTCCTAGTCGGACATCACATATGCCCATTATACAGGACCAACAGATGAATCAACATCACGCATTTCCACTTACTTGTGATACGCGAGGTGGCCAGGCAGCGCTCAACCCCTTTTACCAGTTTTTTTTTAAAGTCTTCTCCTGCTCGTAAGGTCCAACTCCCAGGTAGTCATAGAGAAGCTATCCTTTCTGCGGGTGAAACCTACGGAGCTGCCCTGATGCAGCTTCCTAGGACTATCACCACGCTTTGCGAGGCTCTCGCTTCTTCCGCCGCTCGATATACACGCCTGATAGAGATGTTCCTCGAGGCTTCCATGAAGAAACGCCATACGCGTTCACTGTTTCGTGTTACCGCTCGGGGACACTTGCAGCCTCTGCCTGGGGGCCGCTAAAGCCATTTCTAGGCTCTGCTGGTAAGCCATTTCTAGGCTCTGCCAACCGTACTTCGCCCGGAGCACCAGCGCCGCGCAACCACCATGGCTTCAACGCCACGCCCACTGCCAAGAGAGCAAGGGGCGGGGAGGGAGGGAGGGAGAGAGAGAGAGAGAGAGAGAGAGAGAGAGAGAGAGAGAGAGAGAGAGAAGAGAGAGAGAGAGAGAGGAGGCAGACCGATGAGGAGACCGAGAGAGAGGAAGACTAGAGAGAGACGAGAAGAGACGAGGAGACGAGAGAGAGATCGGAGAAGGAGGACGAGGAGAGAGAGAGGAGACGACGAGAAGAGAGAGAGAGAAGAGAGAGAGAGAGAGAGAGAGAGAGAGAGAGGAGAGAGAGGAGAGAGAGAGGAGAGAGAGAGAGAGAGGAGAGATGAGGAGAGAGAGAGAGAGAGACTGATTAGAGGCGGAGGCGGAGGGTGAGATGTGGAAGGGCGAGGGGGCAAGGGGCGAAGGGGAGGAGGGATAGGGAGCAAGGAGGGCGAGAGGAGGCGAGGGGGCGAGCGAGGGTGAGAGGGTGGGAGGGCGAGGGAGCGAGAGGGCGAGAGAGCAAGAGTTTTGTAAAAACATATGAAAAGATTCCACTCTCGGGGCCAAAATGTTGGCCACGTTCTGTATCGCTCCAATCGCCTCTTAAGTCTTTCCTCCATACTTACAGCCTCCTGGCACTGCATTGAGCCAACGCTACTTCATACCAGGACGTTCGATCTCAACGGAAGCCAGGGGTGGAGTGATGCGCCCCTGCCCGCACCTTACCCACAATGCATCGGTTCGATGCAAACTGCGAGTGACTGGCCTCTTTCTCTCCGTTCCACCCCCACCTCTCCGTTGGTCACCACGGGCCTAGCAGACTCACCTGCGGCTCCACCGGATGCTCCGTGCGGTTTTCGTGTGGGCGCTTGGCGGCACGCGCTGAGTTATAACTCGTGGCTTAACAAGAGTGGCCCCACAGCCTTCTGAAGTTTTCCGGAAAAAAACTTTTCTATGGTTTTGAGCACGGTATTGGAACTTCGTGTCCCTGAAACTTTATCATTTTGCACGTATTACAAAAAATTAAAGTTTCTGACTTCGGTGGCTCATGACCTTTGACCCTTTCTCGTGGTCATGCCCATAACATCTTGCTGAAACTTGCAAACGACGCTTATTTATGGCAGAAATGCAATTCAAAGAGGCGTTCTGGGTCTTTGTCACATGAACATCGCTCCGAAGTGCACTCAGATCGCTCTGCTGTACTTCGCAACGTCGGGTTGTCAGGACGTCATACTTGGACAATTGTGACGTCATACGTCATACGTCAGGACGTCATACTTGGACAATCTGCCACCGAGGGTCAAATGATTGGAACGCTAGTGATGCAAACATCATAGCTTCAAAGGTCTTTCGAGCCGTGTTATCTCCACATAAGTTGTGGGTTTGGCTTGGTTAGTTCGCGTCGTGACACAGCCGGACGAGACACCGCAACAAAAACTACGACCCTTTTGCAGATATGTCGTGCCTCGACAATGTCCATCTGGTGGAGTTTTCCAGACATGTTCAACACTGTCTTCCGCATTGTCGTTGCATATTTAAGTCTCAAGATAACAGAAGAATCGATAAAGTGCTAATTTCTTCGATATGATCTGATTTGACCTGACAAAGGTTACACTCACTCGTGTTAAGTCACACCTAACATATGCAGTTTGACGAGAGCTATCTAATGACATTTTCCCGTACCTTCAGCTTAGCTAGTTGTCGAGCCCCGTAGAGCGGAGGTTTAAGAGTCAAGGGTAACGGTGCTGAGGAGGGGAGTCAATACCGGTAACACCCTGACTGTTTGAGGTGTCACTTACCCCATATAGCACCAGATAGTCACTGTGACAACACCTCCCTTTGTGAAAGAGGGCTGCCCGCTAGTTTGACCCCGAGGTGAAAGTCCCCGATGCCGAATGTTGCGTGCACATCGTGTTGATGCTTCGCAATCTAGCCCCAAACAAATAACGTCTGATCATCTGTTCAGGGACGAGGCGGTGACCCATCTGCCGAAGGACTGGACGGGGACCCATCCGCCAAGGGACGGGACGTTGACACATCCGCCGAGGGACGGAATGGTGGCCCATCCCCCGAAGGACGGGACGTTGACCCATCCGCTAAGAGACGGTGACCCATCTGCCGAAGGACGGTCGCTGACCCATCCGCCGAGGGACGGGACCGTGACTCATCCGCCGAGGGACGGGACGGTGACCCATCCGCCGAAGGACGGGACGGTGACCCATCCGCCGAAGGACGGGTCGGCGACTCATCCGCCAAGGGACGGGACGGTGACCCATCCGCCGAAGGACGGGTCGGCGACTCATCCGCCAAGGGACGGGACGGTGACCCATCCGCCGAAGGACGGGACGGTGACTCATGCGCCAAGGGACGGGACGGTGGCTCTGTCCGCCGTCAGCAAGGCTGTGGGCGACGGCCGCTGAGCCGCTGCGCCATGCTCCGTGAATACGACCCGCCGCTCTGGACAATAATGAGGTGCCAGTCGGCCTCACAACTCCGCTCCTTTCAGTGAAAGGAGGCAATTCCAAAATTTAGTACTCCAGAGTGGTTCTTCATTAATCCGCGTGTAGGGATCAGGATTCAATTTACGACGGAGCAGGGCATGTCGAGAAGATGAAGAGATGTTGAATGGCCAAGAACTTTGCTACTTTGTTCAAAAGACTTTGTTAAATGACAGGAGGCCACTGGAGT